ACAGAAAATGCCCATTACTGGCGGACTAATAAAATTTCATCTGCTTTGCCAAGCCCCAAGACAGAAGGAATTTTGGTAAAATTTGCCCAATAGCAATAATCTAAAGAAAAAACAACAACACTTTTTTAACATTCTGAATTTTTCTCACGCTTTCTGTAGTCTATTGATTTAATATTACTAACACTTCTCTACTGGATTCCAGGAATACTTATTGAGCAACTACTACAAATTGGGTACCATGCTAGACACTAAGAGGGCACCAGTGAACAACGCACAGACCCTGCTCTTAGTGGAGAAAGCAACTCCAAGTGGAAAAAACCCAGATGGTTAAACAGGCTTCACCATGTATAGCTTGCCTGTCATCGGTAACAGAGTCACCAGGTATTTTCCACTAAAATACTAAAACATTCCGACGGTAAGACATTAATCTCAGCTTATAAGCCATATCCAGTCGGCCCTGGTCTTGGCAGTTGATTTCCTTGCATGTACAGAATCTGAGCACAGCTGATAATAACGTCTATTAAGACATTCATGGCAGAGTGTTTTCTTTCTCCTAACAGGCAAGCGTGGAAGAGTTTCCATGATCCATTACACACACTGACAGTTTTTCTGATCCAAAACAGCTGTGGCCCTGAAAAGACTGGGGGCTATGTTTTGATTCTGCTTGGTGCCAATTAAGAGCCTCGCCTTTGTGATGCCAATGTTGGCGCCTTCTTCTGTGTCCCTCATTGGCACCTTCTCACATGCCCTTTTTCTGTTTGTTTATGTACATCCTCCTGACAACAGAAGGGGCCTGAAGGCATAAACCAAATCCAAATGGTGTGCAGAAGCAAATCTAAGCGTAGAGGCTCCCCAGCCCCTGGGCCTCACTAAAAAGTGAGCGTCCCAAAGTGCTTTCAGACTTGTCCTGTTTCCTTCATGCACAGATAGTTAACGGGATTTTTTTTGAAGGAGGGGGGGGGTCTCAACAACTGGCAAGGCACTCAGCAGAATATAGCAAAGTCATGGCCCTAACCACTTGGGGAACATGCCGATGTATAGCCAAAAACCAGTACGTGAATTTCTCCAAGCTCTAAGTGAGAGAAAGAGAGCACTGTGGTTTGAGGAGATAAATGATAATTTACCCTCTCCCATTTAATGAGGTCAATATGCAGCAGTGCACACAAATTATGTTGGAAATGACATAGTAGACTAAAAAGGGGGGGGAAGGACCTAATATTTGTATAAAACTTTCCAATATGCCCTCACTTGCATTATTTTAATTCTCATAGCCACCACGCTCAGTGGGCCTTTTTATCATATCCATTGATACAGAGGAGAAAACCAAGTGTCAGAAATAGTATGTAACTTGCCTGATCATCCACGACGAACAAGCGACAGTATTTGGGCATGACCTGCACAGCCTTCCATGGTACCGGGCTGCCCTGGAGAGCACAGACATTGCACAGGAGCCTGAAGGAGGGCTCTTGTGCCCTGAGCGACACATGGAAGACCCTGTCAGGTTGAGAGGATGGCCAATGAAAAGTTAAGTGAAGTAACAAAGGGAGAATTTACTTGACCCAAACAGAATAGGGCAAGGAAAAGGGCAAGAAAAGAATGTAGCAAAAAGAAGAGTAAGTAGAGTGATAAAAAAAAAAATCTAGTAATATTCAGGATTTGGTTGCACTTATGACTGAGTCTCTCACTATTTTGTCCTCTTGTCCTCTCCTTCTCCCCCGTCTCTTCTCCCTTTCCTCTCCTTGTAAGCTGCCCCCTGATCTCTCCAGCACCATATACTCACAAACAGGGCATATAATAAGTGTAGCCAGATGTTAAATGCAACTCTTCCTCTCTTCCTGTTGGCTCAGACTTTTGCAAGAGTCTCCCAAAGAAACAAAACCATAGTTCTAAGAGGGAGTGGGGTTTAGCCCCTAAACCCACCTCCAGCCCATATAAGAAGTTCAAGTTGAGTAATCAGGAGAGAGGAATTCTTTGGAGAGACTTATTAGGGCAGCATAGGTTTCCCACCCCCATCCAGCCCCTATGGAAGAAGCTGGAAGGGGACCATCTGAGAGCTTGGCCTGTATTCTCTGGAGTTTGAAGGGACAGACATAGCCTATGACTTACATTTGCCCCTGCTAGGATCTATTTCAAGCATACATTAGGTGTCCAATAAATATTTGCTGAATGATTGAATAGAAGAAAGAATGAGTGAGCGAATAAATTAATTAGTACCTGAAAAGTGTGAAAGTAAGAAGCTGGGACTAAAACTAGCTACATAATGATTACAGACCACAAATCTGCACACACTTCCACAAAAGTTTATGGAATGAATGAACACAGGGTGGAAACCAAGACTATGTTGCTTAAACATGCTTTCATCATATTAGACATTTTGGCAGAAAAGCGCACAGAGGCCCAGGAGTTCTCCATATCTTCCTTAAATAGCTCTGGCCTCACGTTAATCCCTAAGAAGACCAGAGAAAATGCAGGAAACATTCCAGATGAAAAAAATCTCTGGAGTTAAAAGTGGTTATCTCTGGTTGGTAAAAGATTCTGGTTGCTGAGTCTTCATTTATTTGCCTCCATTCTCATGTCATTCTTCCCTCTACTTAAACTTTAGTCCATCCTTGCTACATAGCAACACTTGTCAGTAGAAGGGAAAGGAGACAGTCTCACTCCCCTCCCATATCAGCACACTGAGAACTTCCTGCAGCATCGCAGCCCAGAGACCCAGATAAAGTGACCCCACTGCTGTTCCAGCAACAAGCATTTAACAACAAGGCTTTGTTTACTCAAGGTGAAAATCCTCCATTTTAATAAAGTAGTGAAGCTGCATATATAATCTATCCTAATACCCTAGGACAAGTTCCTGAATTACAGCCCCTGTATTTGAGCTCCACTAGTCCCCATAATAAACAGTGTGCTTCCATAAACACATTTAACACAGCTACTGCAATAAGGGAGAAGTGTGGCTGTCCATACAAACACACACATTTGAAAGACTGAACCCACGTGAGAATCATCTTGGTGCGCGTTTGCACTTGGACTTTAAATGTCCTTCGCCAGGATGGATTCACTAGTCCTTTCGATGCTCCCTTGAAGGAGGAAGATCAAACCAGGCTCCAACAATGACCCAAACCGAATCCCATCATACTTCCAATATCCAAGTGATCAAATGAAAGCAGCCAGGGTAAATAGCCCAGCCTCTGTGATTTTCAAGATCTATTTATCCGGCCCTACTTGGAATAGGGAGGGATTCCAAGGCAAGGAAATTCCAGAAGGCCCCATATGAGGAGCCAAGCCTTTGATATAACTTTCTGTCGCTCCTTGTTTCCCAATGCAAATCTCTCATTACCCCATCCACATAACTTTCAAAACCACAGTTTCCTCTGTATCTTGCACTAACAAAATCTGTGCACTTGTACTGGGATAAGCAGTGCACTAAGTACCTGCCCCTGCTCCCCTATCATTAGGAGGGAAGGAGGCCCGAGCCTGTCAATAGCTCAGTTCAGCTTGCTCCTGAATGGAGAGGAACGGATCAAAGGGCCAGCAATATTCATTTAGGAGGAAAAGAATTAAGTATGGAGAACTTGGCTAAATGACGTCTGAAGAAGGAAATAAATACCCACGAGCATTTGAAAGGTGTAACCAAACACCACAAAGAGGGACTGTTTGTTTTTTTTTAAGATGGTTCATGTGGCTATAACTGGGAGAGTCTGAAGGAAAGCAAAGGAAAATCTAAAGTCTCAAGAAAATTCTACCTCCAGCAAGGGCTATTATACAGAGAGGGAATTGGCATTTATACAACCCCTAGACTGAAATTTCTATTCTCTAGAATTCATCTGTTTCCATTTCCAACACATTTTTCAGATGGGTTTGTTTGGAATTAGACCTATATGTTGGAGTGTTGCTTCTTGTGTCTATATTTTCTGTGTATTTTTCACGTGGACTCTGTTGCCTCTTGCACCTTTGCTGTCTTTGTATTCCTTGCATGTACTCCCTATGGTATAATTTGGAAACGGCCTGGTCTCGTGGCGCTACAGGCCAGCAGATGTGAATGAATAAGCTCAATAATGGTGATTTTAGGAATAAAATGCCAAACAAAGAATCCCTCCCTATTAGTGACTTTAACACTCAAACAGATCTGAAATTCTGAAACAGGCCTAAGTATGTCTCTGTCTTCTCCACGCTCTCTGGAGGGGAGATGGGTGAAGTCGCCAAATACAGCCAGAAAATATATCCTAACAGTTTTCTCCTGAGATACACTATATGGCAAGTCCTTCTGGAATTTCTAGATGGAAAGAAACATGTAGAGTGAGAACAGCTTTTCTGAGAGTCTTTCAACACATTTATTCCCAGATGGGTTCAGTGCAAAAGTGAAAATTATTTTTTTAAGGAGCAAAGAAATTTCAACAAAGGTTTGGTTTGAGTTTAAGCTAGAGAGTGAGGCCTCTCCATCACCTGGGTGGTTTATGAGGGGCTGGCTCTAAGTTTCAGTGACAAGCTCTTATTTGGTTGATGTTGTACAGCAGAGGGGGTACTGAACTACAAGTCTGTAGAGATCAAATTCCTCTCTCATTATTTAAATACCTGGATGACCTTGGATAAGTCAACTTTCTTTTCGAGTCCAGTTTCCTTACTTTGAAAACAGGGAACTGAACTAATTTGGTGGGGTCTTGTTTTAACATTTTTTCCTTAGCCAGCAGAATCCCATTTAAAATATAATATTACACAGAAGTCCAATAATAAAAACTGGATCAAAATCCTTTTAGTTAAAGCAACACTGAGTGGTCCAGAGCTTGACCACCCACCTCCCCACTATAGGTCATTACTCTCAGTTCCCCCTCAGAAACTCCTGAGGCATCTCCATGGGACACCATCCCTCCCCAAGAAGAATATTGGGAAGTCACAGGATTCCATGCTCCCTCAGATCTTATCCAACTCGAGTTTCCTATGGATTCACAGTCAGCAAGCAAAGAAGCAAGCTAGGCAGTAGTGATGCAGCTAACCCTAAATACCTTGCTGATGAACAGATTAAAATGACAAGGAATTGGAGGTCCAAAGTCTTCTTTATGGTTCATCATCTAAAGAAAACAAACCCAGAAGAGATAGGTGTAAGAACAAAAACAAAAAAGTTGACATCCAATATCTCTCTCTCTCTCCCTCTCACTGTCTTTCTCTCTCTCCCTCTCTCCCTCACTCCCTCCTTTCTTCCTCTCTCTCACACTCCTCAGACCAAGGCCCAGTCAGGGCCCAAAGGCCAAGGCAGTTGCCTGAAGCCATGACTTATAGGATATAACCCAGGGAAATGCATGTACAGGAACTGGGGCCAGGTAAGCTAGGACTCGGGGGTGGGTCGGGGCCAGGCGGCAAAAGAAGGCTCTACTCAAGTACAGAGGACAAACCAGGAGGGAGTTCAGGTGCTCCCTGGGGTTTGGGAGCCTTTAGCCTCTGGTGTGAACATGTTAGGAAGAGGAGGATTCTTGGGCAATCCAAACCAGAGAAATCCGAAGGCTTCCTCAAAAGCTCCCCCAGCAATTTAGGATGGGTTCAAGGAAAAGACACTGATCATCAACCAGTCATTCAGTTTGAAGATGATGCTCTTACACACAGTTATTGGGCATGCCCCACCCATCAGAAGTCAATTTGGCAGTACCTATCAGAATTTTAAATTGGCATACCATTTGATGCAGCCATTCTACTACAAATCTACCTTACAGATACACTTGCATATGTGCACAAAAATATCCCTGCAAAGATGTTCCCTGCAGCATGCTGTAGTCACAAAAGACTGGAAACTACTTAAATACTGATTGATTAGGATGCAGTAAATATGTTTAGTTTTACTCATACAATGGAATACTCTGCGCCATTAAAAAGAACAAGTTAACTCTATATTGATGACAAGGAAAGAGCCTTAATATCTAATATTAAGTGAAAAAGGTAAGATGCAGACATTGTATACAGTATGCTATATACAATGTCTTATGTAAAACGAATATATACATACATATGCTTGCATATTCATGGAATATTTCTACAAAGATATACACAAAGTGCTAACAGTGGTTACCTTTAAAGAGAAAAAAATAAAAACGGGGAACAAGGAGACATCTCCAGGAGGAAAAAGCTTTCTTTAAACACCCTTTTATACTGATTCAATTTCTTTTTATAATGTACATATAGACATTTGAATAAAACAAAAATAAGAATGTGGAGTAAAACAAAACCTGTCAAATTGATATAAAAAAAAAAACCACCAGTTTTGTTCAATTCCCTCTTTTAGATGCAAGGAAACTGGTCTCAAAAAGAAAGCTGACTTATCCAGCTTTCAACAAACCATTGTACACTTTGGGAGTCCAAAAGTCAGCCAACTGTTACCTTTATCAATAACTAGAATCAAATAAAGAAACTGGTTGGGTCACTAAGGTCTCTACTGCAAACCCATTTGACAATGGTGAGCAGTGAGAAAAGTCTGCACACTAGAGCAGGAGACCAAGTTTCTGCCAGTCACCTTGAGTAATTCACATATGTGATCTTGGCCTGTCTCTCCTTATTCATAAAATGACTGCATGAGCTAGGAGGTCTCTAAGCTTCTTTCCTGCCTCTAATATGCATTGTCCCTGGCATACTGTGGTCATAAACTTGGGCTTTGGACTTCTAATCCCAGCCGTGGCATCCTATTACTTGTGGGACTTTGGGCAATGTATTCAATCTTCTCAACCTAAGTTTCCTTATTTTAAAAAGTATGGGTACTAATTCATTCTTCTGTAAAGGGTTTTGTAAGAATAGGAGATTGCCCTAAAGCACTTAGCACAGAGGAACCCTCTGATTTGCTCGTCCCCAGATATTCTGAAACTTAGTTCCTAGCTCATAGGTTGCTAACCAATCTAAATTGGCCCCCCTACCCTGTCTACTCTCTATCACACCAGTTTGTTTCATTCCTTGATAGCATGAATCATGATTCGTAACCACCTTGAATATTATTAGCTCATTGTCTATCTCACACCAACTAGAAGGTAAGCTCCATGTGGTTGATGATTTTATTTTTCACACTCACCACTCTGTCTCCAGCTCCTAACACTGTGGCTGGCTTATAAAAATTCATTGAATGAATAAATGAATAAAAGAGTGTTAGCTGTTAGTTGCTGTTGGCCCTCCCAACAGCTCCTTGCCAGAGAAGACTAATGATTTCTCTCTCAAAAAGTAGCTGTGAGAATTGCTAACCCTACTTTATATAGGCTCAGAGCAGTTCAATCACATGCTCAAAGTTACCTAGTTAATAAGTGGAAAAACCAAGATAGGGACCCATCCTTTTTGGACTCCAAACTCTGTTCCCTCAACCACTAGACTATTCTAGGGCAGAGAATTCCCTTGACTGGAGTTACATACATACAACTCCTGCCTGCCTCCTAATTACATGCCTCGAACAACAATCACGTTCAACCTTTCAATTCTACATTGCCTGAAACACCACTAATGGGAAATCCTATAATGAGTGGGAAATCTCACCAATCTATTCTATAGCACATTTATCCCCTACAGTCCCCTCCCGTGGACCCTTGAAAGGTCTTTCCTGGAGTCAGAAAACAGAAATTAATTTTGAGCCATGCAGCCAACACTTTGAAGCTCAGAATTATTTCACGATCTCCAAATAGCAAAAGAGACCAGTTATCATTTGAATTTCACCACAGTCATACGAAGTCATCACATGGAAAGTCTTATTACATTTGGAGGAGGAAACAGAAGCAACTGAAAAAAACAACACTGAAGCCTTATAGGCTGATTAATGGCTCACTGTGCTGTCACTTTTGAGGTTACGTAAAGTTTATGAGCATTAGCTTGCCTTATTGCTGTTGTTATGATTGAGCTATTCAGCATTTGTAAAGTTCATGGCTATAAAGCCCACAAAAATAAAAGAAGCTGTGACTAATTCCTTTGTTTTTAGATGTAAGCTCTACTATTGGCAAGCAGGAAAAACTTTTTAGACACAAAGCTCTGGAGGGAGAGAGATGTAAACATTGTCTTGGCCAGGACACCTATAATAGGTAGCACGGGCCTCAGGAGGACAAATCATAGAATAAGCAAGCACCTGTTACTGATTAACAGCTCCCATGCACGTTCTGAGGAAGACTCCTTTGAAGCCTCAGTTGAAAATGCTCAGCAAGGAAAAGCTTCCAGGTTTTCTGTTTTGCTAGTCCACAATGGAATGAAAAGACAATAGTTTGCTTGCCTCAAAATCCAAACAGCATATTCAGTCACCTGAAAAAAAAAATGCTCCAGTCTCCCAGTGAACAAGCTAAGAACTATGTCTTTGTCCTTACAAGTCAACTTATTCAAAATTGGTAATTACTGCCATCTCCAAAGGAGTCAAACTGGGGATTCTACAGAAAAAACATGGCTCCCAAATAAAATGCTATTTTGGGTATATGTAAATATGGCTACCGGTAGGATCTACACATACAAATATTATAGAATCAAGCCTCAAAATATACTGATATTTCAGTTAAATGGGTCTTTCAGTGACAGAGGTCTTTAATAGTTAGAGGAAATGGCAGACAACAATTGGGAGCTCCAAGATACTCTAATAGTGTTTCTCAAAATGTGATCTGTGAACCAATTTTATCACAAATACCTGGGAAGCTTCTGGAAGCACAGATTACTAAGCCCCACCCTAGTCCTAGAATATGGTGGATACGGTCCATTACTTGGAAAAAACAAAAACAAAGAAACAAAAAACCTTCTCAGGTGAGTATTTGATGTTCTCAAGTTTGAGAACCCCTGGATTATAGAAACAAGGATACCTGTTCAGGCCAAGGAAACTAAGCTTCTCACACCTACACAATGTAGAGCAGGATGTAGACAACAGCAGCAGCATGGGGGGGGGGAGTGTATTTCCATTTGGTGAAAGCAAAAAGGGAAGTAACTATGTAGGATAATCAAAACTATAGCTTACAGACAACTCACCTCACCTTTTCCTCTTCTTCCTTCAATAAATCAGAGGGAGACTTTTTTAGACACAGAGTGTCTTACTTCCTTATGCTGTAAGAAATACATGGTCCTTTCAGACACATAAAAACTAATCCACAGGAAGAAAAATGGATTTGGAAACAGAAAGAAATGATAAATTGAGTTCTGGATGCTGATTCATAAAACAATCATTAATTAAGCACCATTTCCAGCTTGAGCATTGTAGGGTCATCCAAGTGGAATTTTCCTACGGCAATTGGATATTCTGGTCTCAAACTCAAGAAAAGGTCTAGAGTCAACAACATATAAGTGATACTAGAAGCCTTGAATATAAAATGGTCAGAAGGGCAAAAGAAGAACAAGCACAGAGCCTGTGGGAACATCAGAAAGAATGTTTCTCAGAGTAGAGTAATGGATGATAATGATCCAAAAAGTACAAGGAGGGTTGAGAGAGTGATGTGATGGAAACCAAAGAAAAAATGTCAAGAAAAAGGAATGATCAACAGTGTCAAATACAAAAGAAAAAGAATGTAATATAAATCCAAAAGTACATATGAATTTGATAACTGGATCACTGGTAGTCTCTGTAAGAGATGCTTTCGTGGAGTACTGTGGTAGGAAAACAGATCGCTTAGATTTGCAGAGCAACAAGGAGATGAGGAAGACAAGACAGCAGACAGCAGAGAGGAATAATACTTTGAAGAAGTTTAGCTGGGAAGGAAGATGGTGCATTATTCAGAGAGATTTTTGAGAAGGAAGAGACAGGCACTTATTTATGTACCAAGAGAAAGAATCCGTGGAGAAAGAATAAAGACACAGAATACAGTGAGAATAATGTATGAACAAGCTTCCAGGGAAACAAGGAGGCTATGTGACATAAAGCAGAGAGGGAAGAATTACAGTTAAACAGGAGAAGAACATTTTACTTGGATACTAGAGTGAAGGATAGAGGAAAGTCAGATGCAGATGAGTTTGCAGGTGAGGAGAGAAGGAGGGAAATGAGTAAGGTTACAACTAATGACCTCAATTTCCCCTACAAGACAGAAAGGGCATCTGTTTAGACAGAAGGTGATGGGATTAGAATTGACAGCTTAAGATCAGAGGA